TTTCTGGAGGCTCACTCATCTTTGCTGGCAGGACATTTTGGTCCACGGAAGTTGATAAGAGAGCTGTCAAAAAAGTTCTTCTGGGAGAGTATGCATAAGGACATACTCCAGTGGGCGGAAGAGTGTAAAATGTGCACTCTACACAACCACAAACCGAAAATGACTCCACCCCTAAAGCCCATCGCTGTCTCCAAGCCGTACGAGATCATTGGCATTGACATACTGGAGATGGGATTAACCACTAATGGAAACCGCTACATTCTAAGCGTCATAGACCACTTTACAAAGTATGGAGGAGCTTACGCTATAGCATCAAAATCAGCGGAGGAAGTTACTAGAGTGCTATTTGAGAGATGGATAGCGGAAGGTTGCCGATTTCCTAAATGTATTCTGTCTGATCAAGGAGGGGAATTCGACAACAAGATGCGAAATGAGTTATCCAAGACTTTAGGGATAAACCAGACATTTACTAAAGGGTACAATCCCAGAGAGAATGGGCTGACAGAACGATTTAACCAAACTATAGTACAGTTGCTGAGAAAGAAGGTAGAGATTCCAGTGGAGTGGGACAAGATGCTTCCATATTGTGTGCTAGCATATAATACTACTATACACGAGTCCACTGGCGATTCACCATTCTTTCTACTCCATGGTTTTGATCCTTATGTGCCCCGAGACTGCGTTGACAGTGGTATCACAACTTATATGGTGGACCTGGACAGTTATGTAAATGAGCTTGTGTTAGGGATGCGCATGACTCATGAACTTGCTCGCACACAAAACGAAAAGGCTCGGAAAAGAATGAAGCTCAACTACGATAAAAACCACAAGGTCATCGAGAGACCGTTGACTTTGGGCGACCGGGTGTATATGAAGGTACCTATGGAAAAGTCCTCATCAAATCACCCTAAACTAGTTAACGATTGGTCGGGCCCCTTTCGAGTAATCGAACTCAGTGACAACAGCGCTTTAATTACGCTGATAAATGCGAATGACGAGCCTAAGCGCGTACCTTTTGATCAGCTTAGAAAAGTACCCCGAGGGGTCGACGACGAGCCCGTTAAAACCATTAGAGGAAGAGCAAAAAGGGGTAGACCAAGAAAAATTTTAAACTCTAAAGTCTTTTGTTTCAGGGTCGAAGTTGGAGACCCGCGGACGGATCCACTGCATCTATTACATCCCTGCAATTGCGGTATTTTTGGAGAACGTGCACATGTGGCTCTACCCGGATTGCGCTGCCAGTTAGCCAGGTCGAAGAAAGTGAAGAACCTGTTTGAGCTCGCAAATGTTGCTTCAATCGCCATGGAACCCACGTGGGGAGACTGGAGAAAAGAGAACGAGCTTCTAAAGAAGCAGTCCACACACCTGTCGGTCATCGGACTTAGTTGTGCCATATCAGCCCATCGGTCGTTTTGCCATGATTTCGCCATGGCACTTTGCGAAAGAGAAGGACAACGGCTACAACATCCGGACATTTTTTCGCAGAAGACGGACTACGATTTGTCCGCATACTACAATCAAGCACTTGCGAGAAAGGAACAACTCAGTCACTCGGACGGAGACGACATGCCGACGAACTCGATCATTCTAGCCTTGTCGAAGGCATTCGAGCGTGTGCGAACGGAGGTTGCCGCGGAAGATTCAGTGAAGTTCGTGGTGTACAACCACCTTGACGACATGGCGGATCAATTGAACAAAATACCGATTAGCGCAGCCATGTTATGGGTTTGGCCGGAGAAAATGCCGCGGTCGGACCAGATGAGAAGGAGCATGCAGGCCGTCGAGAGACATTTGCAGTGCGGAGGAACGCTAGACTGCTTCCCGCCACCTTTCGAGAAAATGCGCAGGAACGAGTGGGAGGAACTCCGGAAAGTCTGCATTGAAGTCGTGCGAATGTTGACCGGGCCGGCCAGGGGGTTTGACGCCAAGGTAATAGACCACTACGGACCACTAGAAGATGCAGTCCCGAAGCTCCACCCGGCCACTTGTCTGGGAGTAAGCCCCCGGAAAGGAGAAGATAAGTTGCACGGTTGGCAGATTTTAATCTTCCTGGAGCAGCTGCGAGAAGCAGCCTCGAATACGCTACGACTGCCGACGTTCCACCTACGGGAGAAGAAGAAGAAAGAGGCGAGCAATCTAGCAGAAACTGAGGGAGAGCCCGACGCAAAACGGAGGAGGATGAAGAAACCGGAAATCATGTACTTGCGAGACCCCACAGCAAAATGGATGGAGCAAGCCGCAAATATGAAGCAGCGCGGACGGTATCACGGGCAAGTCCCCGGAGGTGACTATTCGAGGAGGGGCGTGTGAAGAAGAGATACTCGATGTTATCAGTTTATCAATGATAGTATGACGTGTTGTAAAATGTGTTGATGGTTTCATTTCTTGAGTTTGTTTCACTTTTTGCCCTTTGGACATCGCCAGCGGCTCGTCTTCAATTGTACGTACTCTTCGTGGCCAATAAACCTATCTACGACGCACGTGCCCCACATCACCTACAGGAGAGAAGACACAACTGCTGAACATTTTCCTAAAATTTGCGAGCGGAATGCGAAATTTCAGCAACGCGTATTTTCCGGCGCCCGCCTGCCCCCGGCGTTTGTCTGAGTACGGGCTCTGCGGTTTACAAAAGACAGCGCGCCCCCAATAATTTTGCGTATTCTCGCGGAAAGTCCGCGAGAGTGCGGCCACTGCGCTGCAACAAATCTATAAAAATTTCGTCACAATTTTCGAGCATTCATTCAAAAATTGGCTAGCATTCTTTCAAATTTCTGCAGGCGGACAGCAAGAAATCAGCTAACTATTTTTCCGGTGCCTGCTTGCCCAAAAATCGCATGGCCGATTGCCTCAGGTGATTATCTGAGAAGTGGTTGCAATCCTACACTTTGTAAAGTCGTTTTCCTAGCTTCAGAGCAGAAGCAAGAAAATTATCCCGCTGCTAGGGAAATCAAGATCGCTTTTCAAGTTTGAAGAGTAACTCATGGAGCGGAAGACCCCGCTCACCTCTGATTTCACTCCTGCGTTAGAGCTTTTTTTCGCCATTTTCCAGTGTGGATTTTCGGATTTAGAATAGCAAATAGGTCTAAATAAGCACAAAATTTAAAAATCGACTTCTTGCTCGGACTCTGCCTTCAAGGTAATTTCTTGACTTAAGCTAGTTCACTGGTTTTGGAGAATTATCCAATCGTTCCACAAGTTCGTATCGTTTTCATTTTCGTGCTCATATCCTTGAAAAGCGGATTGATTTGCGGCAAAATGCGTATATCATTTGGAAGGGCGGTTGTGCTACTAATACGTCTACGGATTGCGGTGAAAAGCTGATTCACTCGGATCTCGCCGCTTTCAAAGATGTAAATCTTGCAAGGCAAAAAGGAGCAATTTTGGCATTTGCGCATTTTTCCTTACGAAAAAGAAGCGTTTTTGCACAGTTTTTTGTGCCGATTATGGAACATGGCGCTCGCACATCAGTATGAGACAAAAAAAGATTGGATTGCTACAAAAGATCAGAGGCCGAGCAGTGTGTCCCTGAACAAGACTTTTCGGGGGGACGGGAAGGACGTCCTGCACTGAAAACTACTGTACAGGTAGGCAATGGTCAACCATACCGTAAGCAATTCAACTGCACCGTCTAAATCAGGTTCAAGCTTAGAAAAAGCCTAACAGGCAGATTCAGTGAGCTTTTTTGCATGAGGAAACATTGCCTCATACGGCAAACGTCGTCAAAACTGTCACGATTTGACTGGAAGGTACTTCAGTAGTACCCAAAGTACTCTCCAACTCTCGCTCTATCAGATAACTATTTGCATGAATGGTGCCTGTCTCGATTTGAGTAAGTAGTTCGAGCGCTGGTTAGATGACTTTCTTGGGACTCAGCGCGCTGCCGCTTAAAAAATTTAAGTTGAGAAGCAAACAAGAATGTGCCAAAAGGTCGTGTGCTACAAAGAGGAATAGAATTTTGATTGTTTTTTATTGTAAACTAGCTTGCTTACCCGGCTCCACGCGGCCCTGTGAAAACACTGTAATAAAAGTCTCATCCCTATCCCTGTACAGGCTTTCCCTGTGCCCACTTCTACACTTCAGTTCTCGTTCCCTGTGTTGTTTTCGAAATCAGCATGCCCACTTACCCCTCCTGTGCCAACTCCCAGCCCTGTAGCTCAAACTTTGCAAAAAAATCGATAAAATCGATAAAAGACGATAAAATCGATGAAAGTAATCGATAATCCTGAAAACTAATATTGTATTCGGAATCCCATGCTCGACTACCCCCTGTGCCAGCTCCCAGCCCCGTAGGTGAACTCTGCAAAAAATCAATAAAAATCGATAAAATCGATATCGATCGATGACGAAAAGTAGCCTATGACACCCGAAGTGTATGTGTGCCAAGTTTGGTCCGGATCGGTTCAGAAATGGAATTTTCTATTCGGAACATACGTACAGACATACAGACAGACATACATACAAACAGACATTCAGCTTTATATATAAGATTGATTTGTTCGTTTATAAAAACGCTACGAACTTATGGAACGAATGTTGATGAATGTTCAGTTATTCTGATCCTACAATAGGATCGGAGTGTTTTTTTTTGCAATCACAAATCAATGGCTCTAAAGGATTCAAGAACGTAAGAGAAGATTGTATGTTGTGACATAGTTGCCCCATGACCAAATACGATTTGAGATTATCTGTCGCTGAAAATCAATAACTTAATCAACGCACTTCAAGCGCAAGCTGCAACGACGATTAGTTAAGCGGCCGAAGGCGGATACCACAGTCAACCCCGGTTATGAAGAACTATGTCACCGCCACAAATTCAAAATCAAGCAGTTTATACAAAGCCTTCAAAACAGTATCAGTAGAAAGATGATTTTGCTTTCTGCTTTCTTCCTTTCTTTTCCGCTTTTTGGAAATATTACGAAGAAAAAAACAAGACTTTTTACTGACATGCTGCATATAATCTATGAGGCTTGAACTGGCCTCTGCTGTACTGATTAATTTAGGTCTGTGAGATTCTCAAAGACTACATACTACGTATGCTGGGTGCTCCTCGTCAGTTTTGGCATGTACAGTCTGTATATGAACCTTTCAAAAGGTGCGTTTTCAAGAAAAACAGCGCTCAGAGTACGCTTCGTGATGTATCTAAGAGTGCTGTGCCTTCGCTTCATAACCGCTTGAGACGGGAGGTACAGGGTTTATCAAACGCAGTGTCGCTTGCGTCAGCATCTCCATTCTCGCGCTAGATTCTTTCTTTTCACGAACATGCTCTCTAATCACTTTTCCAGAGAGAGCGTGGGAAAGGCGGAGCCTCAGTCGAATGGAAGTGATTAGATGGCACGTTCGGGGAAGAGACGCAGAGTCCAGCACGGAAGTGGAGATGCCGATGCAAGTGCTGCGTTTGATAAGCCCTATATACCGGGCGCTTGGAAGTGGTGAAAGCTCGCTAGATATGGTTTCGGAGCAGAAAGCAAAGGGAGTGTCGTATATGGAGGCTACTGCACCACGAACGCGCAAAAGCGGTATTGATTGAGAACGCGCGGCGGGCGTGTATATTCACCGTTTTAAATACTACGCTGCGCTCCTTGGATAATAAAGCCGCGTTCGCCCCCAAAGATATTGGACGAATTTGAAACGCAAAAGTACCCTGATCGAAGACGCGGCAGCGAGCGCATTCTTCTTCGCCGAGCGCGACAGCAAGCACAAACTTGATTTTTTACATTTTTTGAAGTTCCAGACGTCGATCTTAGTACGCTTGTGTGTTTAAAATTTATCCCGGCTTTCAAGCGCACGATTTTTGAAGCATTAGAAGGCAGAAGTGGAACGCGTGGTTTTTTGTGACTTCTTTTCATGCTTTTGAGTTTAGAGTACCCGTGATGTTTCACAATAAAGTGGAATATCAGTAGAGTCAACTAGATTATGACAAGGGTGGGAAGAAAGTAAAACCGCTAAAGGAGTTCTACGTGCTGATTGTTTATTGATAAAGTATCTTTTTCAGCCTTAATCTATAGACTCAGTTGTTAACATTACCAAGAAGCGAAAAGAAAATCTATCGATAGCGTTATCGATAAAGTTACGGCTTCTTCGCAAACTTATTGCCAATTCTGATTTCACCTGTATGTAAGGGTAGAAAACAGAAAAGTTTGAATCAATTTTTAGTTGTAGTTTTTACCAAAAGCTGGAATTTTAGAAATCATTTGTGGCCCTACACTAGTGCAAATATAGACTGTGCAAAATATATACTTTGAGGCTTGAAACTACAGTAAGGATCTTTATGACGAAGTCAAATCAGCCCCTGGTGTTGAAGCGTCTAAATTGCCTCTCATTATTCGTGAAAGAAGAATCGCAGCGGCTGTGCTAGGACGGCATCCGCCGAAGTTCACCGAAATGTTCGCATCAGCTTTCTGTTCAGAGTATACTAGTTCTGAAGGTTATCATACAGCTACTTCGACATGGCACGCCTTTATATACAGGGTGTCCCAAAAAATGTATCGAACGTTTGATCGTTAATATCTCTCTTCCCAAGAAGTCTTTTGCCTTGCTCCAGGTACCGTTTTGTAGAGCTGGCTTCAACTTAGATTTGCATTATAGAACGAATCACCCATCTCTCTTCATTACTGTAGGATTACGGTAGAATCTTGAAACATATGGTGTCAATGTGGAAAAAGCTGCCGTTTTAAAAATTTTCAAAAAATTGTGAAAACTTGTTTATTGGGGTTTTTATGGACGCTGAGTTCAATACTCAACTATTCTCAAGGTTGCGAAGCTTTCTAAACGGTGTAACCGCAATTTTTAGGAACACTGGAAAAATGGCCGCTACCTCTTACCTGGCATAACTCTTCAATAAAACGTCATAATAAGTTGGGAACTTTACAGTTACAATCAGCAACTCTAATTAGCCTAGTGCAAAAGCTTTCGAGCTGTTTTGTTTCCTTTCTGAGGCAAAATATGGCCTTTCATTGCTTAAAACCCTCTTTGAAGTTTGTACCGTAATCCTACAGTAATGAAGAGAAATGAGTGATTCGTTCTATAATGCAAATCTAAGTTGAAGCCGGTCCTACAGATTGGTACCTGAAGCAAGAGAAAAGACTTTTTAGAAGAGAGATATTAACGATCAAACGTTCGATACATTTTTTTGGGGACACCCTGTATATAATATATATCAGTGGCGTACCGAGGGGGGAGGGGGGGCGGGGGGGGGGGGCGCGCCCCTTCCCCCGAGAATGGGTCGCGAAATTTTTGATTACTTATATGGGTTATAAAAATGTGCAAGTGACTTGTTTATTTTTGTAAATAATTGAAATAATTTTTAAAAATTTTTAAAAATTCTAATTAGCCTTGTAAATAAATTTTTTTCGGGGGCGTGGCTGACGCCACGCCCCCTTTTTCCAGATTTTAGGGGTCGGGGACCCGCAAAAATTTTGAGAAGCACCCCAAAAAATTTTTCGGAGTGCGTGGCTAACGTTACGCACCTTCTTTAGAAAAATTTTTTTGTCGCCCCCCCCCCCAAGGCCGAAATCCTGGGTACGCCACTGATATATATATATATATCTGCTTTAGCTTCGGGTACAGTAGGTGACGTGAAATCTAGTTTTCAAATTTTTTTTCCAGTTTTTGCTTACATAGGCTTTCACTGTGACGATTACAAACTATTTGATCCTAAAGGACATTGCGAGATGCGGTAGGGGTGTATTTGCAAAAAAAAAACAAACCAACATAAATATTTCGTCCTTCTCTTTTCAGCAATTATCTCTCGGTTTGGTTGCTCCTCAAAGTCACATCGAGGCTCAACCCGACGTTTTCACCATGTACAACTTTGACTAATTCTCATTCTTATTAAAATCCCAAACATAATTTCAGTGTTTTTTCAGTCTGCGTGGCTTTTTGAAATTGATAAAGGTAACATTTTGTCTTGACCAAATCCGTTAGTGGGAATATGAGCCTCACTGTAACGACGCTTCTCCACTGCGTGATATTTCGGAGAAATTTCAGATTGTGAGAAAGCTTCTTGGAGATTCGCGACGAAATCACAAAACCATCTATGCGCGCATGGCTGTAGAAAATTTTAGACAGCAAGATTACAAAGCTGTGATTGCTCTGTGACGATAGTGCTTGATGCTAATCGAGTTCGGAAAACACAAGCGTACTAACATCGGCATTTGAAGCTTTAAAAAGCTTTAGGTCACTGATGGGCCCTGTGGTTTGAAGTGTTAATCTATTGGGAAGCACTTCAAGAGGTGTAGAGTTTACTCGGTTTGTTTGAAAAGTTTCACCGTAAACTAGCAAAATCAAAAACTTCAAAAGCATACGACCCACCGGTGGGTCGTATTGTCGTGAATGTGTTAAAAAACTAAGTTCGTGCTCGCTGTCGCGCTCGGCGAAGAAAACTGCGCTCGCTGCCGCGTTGCCGATCAAGATACGCTTTGCGGTTCGAATTCGTCAAGATATTGCGCCTTCGTAGTGCAGCAGCCCATACAACCCAAACGTACAACGACCACTCAGACAAAACCATTTAGGAAGTTATTGACTGACCCGCTCCATAGTAGTATTTCAAGAAACGCGCTCAGTTTTGCAAGCCTGAAACGAAAAAGTGGCTTGTACAAAGCAGAGGCAAGACAATACACAAATCTGATAGCGTATGTAGAGTAAGGTTTGAAGAATTTTCAGAAAATTTTCAAAATTTCGCGACGTTATTTCTTCCATTACTCGTCATCTTATATTCATGCATTTCACTTGAGTTGTGGATTTTGTTTTTTCATGGACTTTTTCCACCGCCAAAAAACTATATTTAAGCAAGAAATCTGGTTTTTATCTTTGCATTTTTTTTCAATAATTGACAAAAACTCACTATGATAGATGCTGCGCTCCAATCTAGTCAATTGCAAATGCTTTGCTTTCGGGTTTTCATTTGCCTTCTCGGCTCTTCTCAATTGAGTCGCGCAGGAGATTCGCCCACAAAATGGACGTTCCGGTGTCCGGTGCACCGGCGGGAGTCATCATTTTAGCATCGTCCCGATTTTGGTGCGATTTTGTTCCGAAGTGCACTACGCGCGTATATCATAGTGGAGGTTTTGGAAATTGCGAAATAATTGCCATTTCTGAATTGATTGATTTCCGCTAAATAGTGCTCTTTTCTTCAACGATTTTGCTTCCGCTCCTTCCTTTACATTGTTTTGATCGCTCATTGACATCATTCAAGATTTGTATAACGTAGGCTGTTATTATCTAGAGGTGATGTCATTTTTTTCATGAATGATGTTCTTTGACTGAGCATGTCTATTTTGTCTTTTTTACATTATTTCATCGATATACAGGGTGTCCCAAAAAGATGTGTACACCGTTTGATCGTCAATAATTTTCTTGCTTTTGTTCTTTTGTCGAGCTTGAGGTACCATTCTGTAAGGCAAGGTTTGACTTAGATTTAGAATGACTTAGATTTTTTTTTTAGAGTTTGGAACAAATCATAATCATTGTTTATTACTTTACCGTAGGATTACGCTATAACTTTCAGCATATAGCGTCACTGTGGAATAGGCTTTTTGATGAAATAATTTCAAAATATTTTGAAAATTTGTGTAGCAAGCTACTCAAACGTGCTGATTCCACTACATAGCATTTTACCAGTTTTTCGAGCTTTTTGATAGCGTATTCACATCTCTGACAAAAATTGGAAAAACATTTGTTACCCTAAATCTGAAATAACTTATGAAAGAAGCACTATACTGAAGTGCAAAACTCATATTTAGAATCAGCGACTGATTAGCCCATTATTGATTAGATTTTCTGCCTTGTTTGGCTTTCTTTCTGAGCCAAAATACCGCTTTTCATGGCTTGAATCCCTCCTTAGAGTTCCTACCACAATCCTACAGTAATGAAGAGCGAATGGTGATTCGTTCCACATTGTAAATCTAAGATTTAGCTTACCCTACAGAATGTTACCTCAAGCTCTGCAAAAGACATTTAAACAAGAGAGTTATTGACGAGCAAACAGTGTGCACGTCTTTTTAAGACACTCTGTATAGCATAATTGACAAGCTTTAATCCACTGCTTATCTTACAACAATAGTTTAGGCTATTTCATTTTAGATTAAACCGCCT